TAGACTTATTCTTTCTGAATATTTACAAGTTTCGCAATAATATTTAAAATATTTGATGAAAAAAAGGGAGTTTTAACTTACATTGATGTTGTTGCGTAGGCATTACATGTTCTACATTATCCTCAAATACACGTCTATTTTTCCATCGTAATACTATTGCTACAATAAAAGGTGCAATAAATCGTAATGCAAATGATAGACCACCGAAGATACCAATGATTGTAGTAATAATAAAGAGAACATCGAAACGATGTCTATATAAATAAGAACAATAAGCAGGATTGCATTGAGAATAATATAAATCAAATCGAATATCACTTATCATTTCATCAATCATTATTTTATCTAATAGCATTTGCATAGTCGAATTTACCATAAAATGTTTGTTGCTAGTGTTTATTAATGGTTCTACATTTATGGTCAATGATGGATGTAAAAGAGAAAGACATGTTTGATTATAGTAGCATTCTAGTGTAGAAGAAAGTGTACCATCAATAATTAAGCAATCATCTATCATTCCTGGTATTGTAACTATATGATTGTAATTATCATTAAAAGTAGCCGGATGTGGACAGCCTGCAATATTCAAAAAGGAACAATTATTAAATATACGTGGTGACATTTTTGGAGATTCCGATGAATCTAAATCTGTTGGTAAATAATGAAGATAGAAATTAGTTGCTAAAGCTGAAATAATTTGATTTGCACTTGTTGTACGACGAATGGCAAGTAAACTACGAGCAAATGTTGCTTGAGCCAAAATAATATAATTATTGAGATCTGCTTGAACTTGATTTCGAACAACTTCTTCGGCAGTTGCTCTTGGACTAAGAATTCGTGATGCATCAAAACTTGTCACAGTATCAATCCATGTTCTATTGCTCATCATACAAAAGCCAGCGATTACTTGCCAAAAAAAACTAAGAGTTCTACGAAAATCATCGGATGATAAAGATAACATATTTTGTTGATTGAATATTGAATCAATCCATGTTTGTTGAATAAATTGACTTGAACAAACTTGATGAAAGTTGACTTGAATTGTCACAAATGTATCATAAGTAATACCAAATTTTGAACAAGGACA